CATGTGATGTGACTTTTGAGCGATGGCAAATTCTACAAAATTTTATGAACTTTGTGTTTTTGACCAAAGACAATTTTGTATGAATGCAAATTCTACTAACTTTTATGAACTTTGTGTTTTTGACCAAAGTCTGATTGAACTTTGACGTTTCGGTGCATGTTAAGGACATTACTGATTAACTGAACGCAGACTTAAACTGTTTTCCTATCCTGTGACAAAGTGACAATTCAGAATAACTCCGAATTAATATCCAGCAGAGACTGAATGCGACCATTTCTAAAAGATTGCTTTACAACTTAAAGATCTATGGAAACTTTTGTTTCCCCACGACGAGATTACTCCAAACCTCAGAGTTTTTGAATGCATTCTACGCCTCTGGGTGATTAGATGTATCAATAGTACATCTTTTTTATACAAACGTGAAAGGCCTAAGGCATACTTGATCTATTGCTGATAACTCACAGTAGATGGTACCAAATGCAAGTGAAGGTACAGGCATGTGGCTCCCTCTAGTGAGCATCAAGTTTACTACTTATTGCAATTTTCCTATTTCTGCTCGCTTTTATGTAATTCTGATGAGAAGGTACATGGTTTTAAACCATAGGCACTCCGTAATTTTTAATCATTGACATTGGCATTATAAAACCGTTTCTAAATTCACAATAAGTGAAATACAGTAATACTCTCTTAAAAATTTGTCATTGAACTTGTAGGGTTTATATTTATTTTAACTAACATTTATTTTAAGTTTAAGCTATCTTTCCTGTCAAGCATTTACTTTCCCCTGGAATTGCCAATGCCAGAGTATGTAAATCGTAGTAGAACGTGCAGAGTATTCAAATTTTAGCAGAAGTAATTGAGTTTAAATAGAAGGGAAATAAGATTGTAGGTGTCCTTCTTGAATCACGAGCGTGAAGGTTGCTTGGTAGAAAGTTTAAGAACCGCGCGTTTCGGACTGTGTGCCTATTTCGAAAGTCGTTGAATCTTTCAAGTTCTTAATCAGAAAGTTTGCTAAATCTCAGCTGTATGTTAGGACACGGTTAAGATAGTTACAATTATAGAGCCTCGTAGATAGTGACTTCGTTAGTTATGCATCCTGTCATTTATTTTTAGTTGTACTTTTCTATTTTTGTTTAACGCCCGGGTCGGCGTAGTTTGTGAGCGTCAAGTGAACGCAACTGTGATTTCTAAAGTGAAATAAAAAGGGAGTTAAACCCTTCTTAAGAGTCTGTGTAATTTCCAGTTCATAGCAGTCACTACTACTACTGCTGACAAGTTGGGGCCTCACAACATCATAAACTTTTATGAGAATAAAGATTTCGTGCATCATCTTTGCCTACTTTCATAGTAGTATTCTAGGTTTGCTCACAGAAAATTTCATCAGCGATTTTGTTTAAAACTTAATTTTTGTTCTGCACATGCTGGAATTTACTTTAATTTTGGAGATATTTTCCCAAACAAAACTTGCCCAAAATATGAAATACCTATGAGCGAAAACTTGCACCTGATCAAAATGTGAGCAAAATACGCAAAAAATTGTGACAACAGGGAGGGAGATCTACTTAACAGTGAAACTATAACCAGGATTCCGTAATTCTAAGCATTGTTAGCTTCTTAAATATTTTATACTTCTGCTTAAACTAGCATTGCACTGAAGATATGTGTGTTGGTATTATAATAAAAAAATTGGTAAAAGCTCAGAATACGTGGCATAAACAAAACTGCGAAGGCGGAGCTAACTGACGTCAATGAATGGGTGGGACTAAGCTTGTTATATCCCAATGTATTCTCGCATTTACACTACGTGTAGTTATTATTTTCTATTGAAATAACAATAATCAGGTGTTTATTATTGTAAATTAATATTAAATTCTTTATTTTAAATTTACATTTATAAAAATTAGCTTTGGTTTTACTGAAAATATGTATAACAAACTGTTTATTTGAAATAACATGATAGAATAGTTCAATTCCACCATTTTTTGAAACGGTAAACAACAAGTCTCGCCTACCTGTATCGTAGAACTATATATTTTTTAATATTTTTAAGCTTTGGAATTAATATAAATAAGAACAATTTTTTAACCTTCTAATCCTACCATTTTCACAAATGATTTTATATCTACACAAATTTCCTTATATACTGTTAAGTAGACATTATTGATTATAATGTAAAAGATTTAAAAAATGAATGTATTAATGAAAAAAGAAAAATAATTTTTACAACAAATGAATATCATACAAAGCTTTCATTTTAATATGCCTTTAGATTCCTAAATAACGTGTAATTGTCTTTCACATTACTATTCCACACATCAATAACTGGAAAATATTTAATTTCTCACAGTAAAGAAAATAAGATACGAAAATAAAAACCGCAAATTTATAATAATACGAAATGCTTCAATTGAAATATATAAAATCAAGTGCAATTGCATTAACAATTAAAAGCATAACGCAAAAGTTACTGATCAAGTGCAAGTTTGCGATTTTCGCAACTCGGCTTTTGACTTAAAGATCGTCAAACTATCGATATTTATTGTAAGTCGACGAACACTATCAACATATCAAAAAGAAAACAATGAAAAATCCAATTTGAAACAAAATGATGATTTATGTTACAATTTACAATTTATATTATAGTAGCAATTGAAAGTAAAAAAAAGTACATTGCAGTATTGTACAATATATTACTGCTGTTCTTCCCATGTATACAGCGATTTGTTTTCGTTTAAAAAATCAGAGAATTGAATAATAACATTTAAAAAATCAGAGAACTGCATAACAATGGCATCGTGCACAACCTCGGCATTGCGCACAGCTTCGCCACTGAGTAACAGCTGTGATCATGATCCCCTTAGAACAGTTGCAACTTCACCATAGACGCCAGGCCGTTTTAAAAATAAAGTATAGCAATCATAAACACAGAACAAATGACCGAGAGGAGAAATATCCCACAATTCCATTGATTCCAGTTATAAATAAATAAAAATAAAAAAGCAATAAATATAAAAAAGTAACGTTTCGAAAAATTGATTCAACGACGAAAATAAAGCTACCGTAATAACGAAATCATCAAATTTGGCATGCATTCGATATTTTTCTTCAGTCAATAATAGCAAATAAAACTTACCTTTAGTTTACGGCTTCGGCCGAATATATCAGTGTCCGGATCTTCGAAGTGCAAACTGTTTTTCACTCTCAAATTATAATGCTTGCATCTTTCGGCCTCGAGACAGCTGAATGCTTTCCAACAGTCGAAAATCACAAATGATTCGGTCAAAATATTTGCTTTAATTATTTCTAAAAATGACCCAGATATATAAATATCCTGTTACAATCAAAATCCTATTCTTACAATCAAAACTTTCTCCACTCAATTACTTTTTTTTCCGATCCACTTGGTAAGAAAATGAACATTGACCTTTTCACGTATACTGAAGAACCACTGATATCATAATATTCATCGGATTCTTTTCTTTGATTTGAGCAGTTTTTACATTTTTAATTATTTCTCCAATGTTTTCAATCGTTTGTTAAATCTTAGTAATGCAATTTTGAAAGCTAACTTGTTGTGTTAAATGTTGAAAATTGCATATAACACACACTAAAGTACATTTCTAATAAAAATAAAAAAAAACTCGTGCCGTAACCTTATAAACCTAATATTTCAACTTAGTTAAAACACAGTTTAAAATTTCTTTAAATGGGAACATATAGCATAGCTATAACTTGCTTCGAGAAAGAGGCGTAACCATTATTACGTCATAAAAAGGCATGTCCAAGCCTAAAGTAAATGAACAACGTGTTAGCGTCTTCCAGAAGTGAGCAGAAAATGGACTAATTCGCTAAAATGCATTCATATCGTAAAAAGAAAGAAATAGCAAACTTATCTATAATTTACCAGAAGTCGAAACATCCACACGATGCCTGTCCTATCGTTGACATCTTTCATTCACTGTTTGTCCTCTTTAGCATCGTTAAAACGTTATTTTTCCTTCTATTTGTTTATGCTACCAAATAGAACTGTTATGCTTACAAATAGAATAGTTACTGTTTTGATATTCCCCCTTTAACTTTTGTCACTGTTGCCATTTTTCATTTTCTAAACTTTTTAAACCACGGGCCTGATATTTACAGAACGCTGTGTTCCTCCATTAGTTGGCGCGCTTATTCTGCGGAGAACAGCCTTGACATAGGAAACCTGCTATATAGGAAACCTTATATATTCTTGGAAAAGAATATTTTTGAAAATATTCAAGCAGTTTTACGAAATTTATGTTAGGTGAAACCAAAGAATTCTAACCTCCATGGGTGAAACAAGAAACAAGTCTTTTCGTGTTATAGCATTATAGATCCAATCATAAAAATCTCACTGCCTTGTTTAGAAATCTGTATATTCATCATAAAACTAGGTCTCGTCCTCGAAGCTTTATTAAAAAGAGCAAATACTGCCCACGGGCTAACAAGTTCGCAGATTCCCTGCTTTACAGGGTTGCTTTACAGATTGCATCAAGATTAATAAGAAGAAAACTCTAAAAAATATATTTAACAAGACTTATTTTTTATTAATAGAAAATATCTCTCGATAAACTTTTTGAATAACAATGATAATAATAAAACAGAAACCTAAAAATAACCTTTGAAATGTGTTGTTTTTTTCTAACCGATTTTAACCGTATCTGCAACATACATTTGCCCTGCTTGGAGGTTGCGGCATATCGTGATTTTGGAAATATTGAATTTATTTTTAATAATGGCTTCTGAAAAATTTAAAGTGCAGGCTGCTGAACCAGAAGAGGAGGAAGAAGAGTTGGTCGATCCAATGGAGGAAATAAGACAAAAGTGCGCAGAGAAACACTGTTCCAATTTTCTAGAAAAGCTCAATGAATGCACAACTCGAGTGACCAGCCGAAAGAAAACAACTGAAACTTGTCAAGAAGAACTCTTTGATTTATTACACTGCAGAGATCATTGTGCTCATAAAGAAATTTTCAAGCATGTGAAATGAGTTATTTAAAAATCAAATTAGTAAGTAGCTTTCACCTTAATTTAATTATGAAATGAAATACCGATTGGTGAATGTAACAAGAGGTCATACAAACATTTTGGAAAAACATGAATTTTTTTTTTTTTTTTTTTTTTTTTCAGTTTCAAAGTAATGTTATTTAATTTTTACTTAAAGAATCAACAATAACATGCCTATGTAATAACACTAGTAAGATGACTATGTGTTTAGCAATAACAACATGACTATGGAATCTGCTTTTGAAAGTGTCACACCCTCTAGAACTACCTCTAGAACCTCGTAAACAGATATATTAAATAGTTAATAAATTCCCATAGCTTTTTAAAAATATGAGACGGGACAGTAAAGATCTGAAGCAGGCACCTTTAAAAGGATATTGATAGGATTTATTATATAAGTGTTAGAAATTGTTTAAAGAGCATTCAGAAAATCATATAACTTTATAAGTACCATTTATTGGCAGTATATGAAGCCCTAACTGAGCGAAGATTTGTGAAACCCGATTTCATATATATGTTTTACCTTAATTATTTCCGTTTAATTGGTCCAGCACTAAAATTTCATTCATATGCGGTTCAGTACTAATAATTGTCAGCCTCAGTTCTGAACAGAAATTATGAACAATTTTTAAAGGATTAATACCAACTGAAAATGAAGGAAATTGCAAAATTGACAGCAGTGATAGTACTAAAGAAGGAGATGAAGCAACTTACAGGAAGTTAATGCAAATTATCAAAAATGACTTAGAAATTGTCTGATTTGGTAATGGAGATGGTAAGAGATTGATCCCAGGGCTTAATTTCTAAAGAGTAAATAAATAAATAAAACGGCCATTAAAATCAATAATAATTAAAAATTAAATAGTTAAATATTATCAGATTAATAAATAATATTAATTGAATATTAATTATCAATATTTTTATTGTTAGTTAATTAATAATTATTGTTCAATTAATTAATAATTAATATTCTTTAAAATAATTTAAAAATAAAATGAAATTACATAAAATGTACAGAGGTAAATTAAAATTTAATAAGCAATTTTTAATATAAATTTATTGCTAAAAATAAAATTTTCAAGATCAGATTTCTACTGAAATTGTTGTTCAGTTACATAGAAGTGCCAGAGCCTTCTTATTTAGGGCTTATGTCTTGTTATTTTGGCTTTGTGTAGCAGTGATTTTTGGAGCATTTTGGTGCAAAAATCGCCATTATGCAAGCCAAAATAAGTCAAAGAATTGCACTAACTCGGTATCCATGTACTGCCAAAAATCTCCAATTTTCGCGAAGGGGTACCCTTAAATATACTTTTACCTTTATCCCAATAAAGCTATGGTATGCCACCTAGGGGTGGTTTTTTAAACTCTTTATATATATATATAATTTTTATCATTTAATTCTGCCATTACCTAATTTTCATGCAATTCCGCTGTACAGTTTTTGCTGCAGACTGCTTGCAAATTTCAAGTTTAATTATGGACACCCTGTATGTATCCATGAGTATATGCATGTATATATGTGCATATAAATGTGTGTGTGTACACACACAGATAAATTCATAAGTATGTACTATATACATATGCATACATGAACACATACATGCAACTATAAATTTCTGACAACAGAAGTGTACCTGTTTTATTTCATGATAAATCATATCAAGTAACTGTCTGCTGCTTTAAAATTACCTTGGTTTAAGTGTTGCTTTAAAAGTTTTGCTCAGTTTATTCTAAAGGAGTAAAAAGCGCTTTCATCTACAAGTTAGAATTTTTGGTTTATCTTTATATTATGGTAACTTGGCATTTTTTTGGCGAAAATTTGGCGACCAACTCTCTTACAGCAACCCTCTATTTTTTTTTTTTCCCGCCGCCATTTTGTCTTCACGAAGTAAAGACATGTATCTTTTCTTTTTATCTACTGAACACTTCTTCCAACAATCTACTAGCCGAATTACACTTATGCTAGAAATTTTATCTAACATAACTGCTTAATTATGACAAACATTCACTGCAAAATTGGGAAAAAGTGCACAATACCATACTCCTTACGCGTTTTTCAAAATAACACATACACATAAACCATGTACACGCCGACTTATTTTTACTTAAAAAAACATCCCAGAATTACACAAAAATGGCATTGCGTACACTCTTCACTATATCCATGTACACTGCTTTTTTCTCATAAATTAGAAAAATTTCACGAAAATACATGACAATTTTTCTCAATCTTTAAACCCGGTAAAAAAAAAGAATATATGAAATTACCTGATCGCGAAAAAGTTTATACTCTTTCCAAATATGAACATTTCCACATATAAAATAAATAAAATGTCCAAAAACTTTTACCTCTAAATCATCTATTATATTATACACGTCACCAACGAATTCATACCACAAGCATTACAAATACTTAGTGTCAAATATTTAAATTATTTCCATGCACGTTTACTTCAACTTAAGCGTATACCAAATTCCTACAAACATAAAATTCACAAAATAACTATTATGTAATTAAAATATCACTAAACCATGTATATGTCGACTTATTTTTACTTAAAAAAACATCCCAGAATTGCACAAAAATGGCATTGCGCACACTCTTCACTATATCCATGTACACTGCTTTTTTCTCATAAATTAGAAAAATTTCACGAAAATGCATAACAATTTTCTGAATCTTTAAACGGTAAAAAGAACATATATGAAATTACCTGATCGCGAAAAAGTACATACCCTTTCCAAATATGAGCATTTCCCCGTATAAAATAAATAAAATATCCAAAAACTTTTACCTCTACATTATCTATTATATTACAAACGTCACTAACTAATTCATACCGCAAACATTACGAATGGTTACAAATACTGTCAAATATTTAAATTATTTCCATGCACGTTTACGCAAATTACTTTACTTCCACCTTACATTTAGAACAATGCATAAAAATAATATCCTCAAATAATTAAAAATACTAACTTACCTATTCTTCTTCAGAATCTTGATTACGTGTCCGATAAACTTTTCTTATTTCTGTTTCAGGATCTTTAAAATCATACTTATAGTTCACAGCAAGGTACCAGGTAAAATAAATAACTTAATAATACATCTTTACTTCTATCTTGCACAACCTTAAAGAAACACTTATTACTACCCCTTTCAATCCCACTAAATACCCATTTCGAATTCACTTTAGTTAGGGCCATGAGATCCAAAAATTAACCAACACTGTTTCACACAACACAGGATAAAGCCAAATACAATATTTCCAGATTTTTTCCCGATTTCCCCCCTTTTCCGATTAAAGAACCGTAATTCGTCCATTAGTATCACATGACATATCCCATGATCTCTCATCTCCCTCATACAAAATAATGCGTAATCGGAACTGAGTACTGCTCTCATTATTACCAAAGTCCCAGGTAGTAACCTTTATTGCCTCCAAAATGTCGCGAAACTACCAGTTACCATATTCTAAAGATCAGCCGAATTTTTAAGTAAATTATTGTTGCAAGGAGTTATTTCACATAAATTAATTTGATTTATTTAATATATTAAAGTATTGTAAAGCTTGTATAAATGTTACAATAATAATCCTTTTACTTAAACTGATAGTAGCTGATGATTTGGTAGTTGTTTCTTTGGTAATGGTAGTCATTTTGCATCTGATTAACTTCACCTTTCTTGTTTGCCTAAATATGTGTTCTGTCTTATGCTAAAATAATGAAGGCGGTCAATAGAAAACTTTAAATCATTTCGCTGATTCCACAAAATGTGAATGAATGTGTAGTGTGATCTTCCCAAATTCTAAATCAGTTTCATACTTATTGAACAAAATTCAGAAATGAAAGTTATTAGAATTTGATTATTTTTCAAAATAGAATTTCTTCATCACACTCATCCGTCGGGAAACGATTCTGAAGTTGTCATCCTCCTAATTATTAGGAAAAGCAACAATATGCTATATATATTCACTGAAATAAACAACAGCTTCTTTATTTTGTCAGTTATTTTCTTTTTAAGACTTAAAAATATCATAAAAGCTTGACTATCCAGATAGCTTTGGAAATGCTGGATATGTGTAAATTGCGGGTGGTTGAACGCATGCAGTTCATTGTAGAAAAGCCAAATAAATGAAAGAAATGTTGTCAAAAGTTATAATTTGTTATCAGCTTATTTGTTATCAGCTCAAATAGCATAAGTATGTCTATATTTAAAAGCTTGCCAATGTTTACAATTATGTAAGAATGAAGCATTTCAGCCCTAAAAGTCACGTATTTAATAGCCCTTAAAACATATGAAAGTAAAATGTTACTGGATTGAAATGATATCGCCAAACTTGTGACAGTCATCCCAGCTGAAGCTTAACAGATTGTTCTTTAGTGAGTCAGATAATTAACTGGTACAAATTAGGTATGTAGCATATAAAAAACTTAAAATGCTTACCATAATTTTTCATGTTGCATCGCCACTATTTATCCGCTTTCAAATAATGTTGCATATCCTGCTCATTTCTGAATCCAGTTCTGATAACAGAATAGTACCATTTTCTCTTATAATTATTGATTTGTTGATGTGTAAATGTTAATAAGGAATTAAGTCATATTCATAGGCATCTGAAAAAACAATGATATAGGCATAGCATAGAGAGAATTAAAGTATTCACTGTATTCCCAAAAGTTGTTTTGCTTTAATTAATCTCTATACTTAGTAGTAAATTGCAAATTTATTGGCCCATGAATACATTTCCTATAAATTAATCAGTATTATGACGGCATAATTTGAAAAAAGGAAAGTTTTAAGATTTTAATTGTTTAGAGCTCAATTTTACATTATTTTAATTACTAAAAATAAACATGAGAAATGCTCCAGAAAATCTACAGATAGCTAATTAAACAGCTGACAAATTGTGCATAGTTAGCTGTATAGACAAAATAGTTAATACAGTCAAAAGTCTTTAATCTAGACTCGTCGGGACTTCGGCGATTCCAGATTATAGATC